TCATCCATTACTGCAAAAACAGAAATTCAAAGCATTATTATTAAACACAAAATCACACAAATGCAATTATGTTTTAAGTTAGACTGACTGTTTTAAAGTAACACACAGCCCTGTAGATTAAAAGCTGTTCCTCAGTAAAGGGAAATTTAAAAGAAAACAAAATTCAATCAGAAACAACTGCAAGAGTAAGACTATCTTATCAAGACCTAGGTTTTTAAAGTCTTGTTCAACTGACAATGAAACCAAAACAGAACAGACTGAATCTCTAGTGGCAAAGTTTAGCTGGTGAGAACTACATCATATTTACCAAGTGCTAAAAGACATCATTGAGAACAAAAATGCAATTAGATAAACAAACCGTTTTCCCCTTCTTTAATTGTTTTTACATTAAAAAAACAAAAAACCTAAGCATCCAAAAACATGAATAAATTCCCCAGAAGATAACAAGAATGGCAATGGTCCTCACACAAGAGCTGACACAAAGAGATAATGGTAATGCCACCTAATGAAGACATGACAAGGCATTGGCATGTATCCCTATTATGTACTAATTGGACCAGCCGCGCATATAGGAAAGGAAACCTAGGCAAGCACTTCTTGAAGCAGCCTCATATGATGACTATATACACTGGGTGTCTAAAAAACATTGCCTCGTAATAAGTTGAGTGAAAATTTGCTCTGTCGGCATGACAGCGTTTCTCTATGCCCTTGACGGAAGCAGATCTTAATTGCAAAATACAAAACACAACAGTGTGGACTATACAAACTAGTACCAGCTTAGTTCGTGCCGCGTGAAAGCAACACGATCAACAATACTTAGGCCCAGTTCAGACGCCGGACTTTTCATGAGCCGAACTTAATTTGAATGTGGACCAACCCAAGTTATCAAAACTACACCTGTTGATTCAGACGTTGAACTTCAGTTCGCCGAACTTTGTTTAGTTTAAACCAAATTACATCGAAAATGTCAGCAATTTTCAGGCAACGTAAAAACTGCTTGTAAAATACGTTATAATAATTTATGCATTAGGTTCGGGTCATGAAAAGTTCGACGTCTGAATCAAAGCCGTTCCAAAGCCGAAATTTCCGGCTGAGCTAGGCGGGAAGAACGTTCCAAATTCAAATAGCTGTTCTTAACTGATTCAAATGCCAAACTTTTCATGTACTTAATTCAATGTATTTGGTTCGGCTCATGGAAAGCTCGGCATCTGAACTGGGCCTTAGATTGCTAATGAACATGTCGAAATGGCTTCGTAATTAACTTGAGCCATTTAAAATTACTCACTCCATTACTACAGACAACATAAAACAATACACTACACTTCACAAAGCTTCTTACCAACAATATTAAGCTTCAAAGGCAGCTGTAAATGTGATTCGGAACCTGCAGAAAGATCCGGTAAAACACCCTTACGATAAAAGTCACAATCAATGGGTATCGAGCTTTCACCTGGCAAACACCGTGCCGTCCCCTAGTAAAATAATCTGAGGACACGATCACAACGCATTTTCATTGGAAGAAACAACGACATGTACAATTGGTCAAAAGGTGTCTGCCATGCGGGACGAAAGTGCAACGCTATGGCTGTTGACCGGTCAGATTGCAGGAAAATTTGAATGAACCAATCAGAAGGCAGATTTTGCCCACATGACCAACAAAATGGCTATCTCGACACCCTCAAAGTCCCTCTCTGTCACGGTTGGCTGAGGGCCAAGGTTTGGTTCCCAGTCCCCTGAACAAAAGAAAATGAGTGAAATATTCAAAAAAGGGTTTTAATGTGGATTGAACAGTTTCACAAAGTGGTTTCCTTTTCCAGCTGGCTTCAGGTCCAGAAACCGTCATTGTGTATCCAGGACTGAAACTTGGCAGTCGCCAGGTCGCCAGTGGCAACTTAAACGTAACTGGGCGACTAAAAATTCAGCTTAATGTATTGCCATTGCAGTTAAACCCCACCCAACCACCACCCCTTTATTATGACCACTTTTTTTATGGCCTGGGCAGAAGTCCACTCATTCTCCTATCTGAAAACCCCATTATTACATCGAATGACCACCTTTTGGAGTGCTCGGTCCTTGTGTTCTTTATAAAATTATCCCGTTAATACGACCGGTTAAATTGACCAGTGAGGAAGCTGAATGAAGGCAGACACAATCTGACAGATAAAGGCTCTAATGGACATTTCACAAGAGGCCATATCCTGTTGAGGAACTGAAAGACGTCATTGCTTTTTCGGATTTCATGGAATCAGTTTTGTTCAGTTGCAATGAATTGCTGTTGTAAAAAAAGAAAAAGTGAAGCCTTGGAGCTGACTGGCTCATAGCTGCTGGAGCTTATGGCGGTTTCTGTATCGTGAAGTGGCTAGGAGTATTTCTTCTCCCTCTGGACGGGATGCTAGTCCATCGCATGTCACTCCCCTGCAGTTTGTTAGGTTTCCCCAGGAATTTGCCGGTAGCCATTTATACTCCTGGGTGGTGAGAGGCATTGTTAGAGTAAAGTGTCTTGCCCAAGAGCACAACACAGTGTCTTCGGGCCGGGCTTGAACCTGGACCACTCGCTCCGGAGTTGAGTGCACTTGTTGTGCCTCCACACAAGGTTGTAAGGTTGTAAGGTTGAAGAATAATATTAAGAAGGTTGATTTATAATGGACTTAAAGGTATTCATGTGCAATACATGTTTAAGGCGTGCTGCATCATAATGTGACCCAACCTCGTTAATACGACCAATTTTCCACTGTCCAAAGGTGGTCGTATTAAAGGGGTTCCACTGTATGAACTTGAAGTAAAATATAAGAACAAGTTGTTTATTTGGACTACTTTTCTTTTCTTTCCCCTGACTCCAATTTCTCCGAGTTCTGTGAACTTTTAGAACCAATACGTGAGATGCCATTTTGATTTTTCTGTTGCCACATGATTCCAGTCTTTCCCAGAGTACCTTGCTGTCTGTATTGAATGTTGTCGCTTTCACATGCACAACAGTTTTGGAAAACTAAATCAGCAGGAAAAGAACAACAAAATGTGGAGATTTCTCTCTGGTTGCAAGTTGCCTTCAATGGAAAAAAAGGTCCACAAAGCGTACTTGTGTGGGCTTAGATTTACTTTTATTCCATTCGGTTGGAAAGCTAGTTTTAAATGTCAGTATTCAGGAGTTAAAGTACTACAAGTGAATAGGCCATCACTAGAAAGATAAAGGTATACATTTAAATAAATAAGGTAATATTGATCATTAGGTATCAACATAGGTAAGTTGTTATTAATTTTATTGAAGACTGTTTACAGATATCAAATTAACTTGTACATGTACTATCAAGAGGGTTTGCTGTGATATCTAAGCCAGTTACAGAATAGACCTTTTTCATAAATGGCTGCCAATTATAAATTCTTTTGTAAGTATTAAAATTAGCCCGACTAACCTCGTTCTTGAGTTGATAATTCCAAAGAACTTTTACTCCCAAACGAGTTTACTGAGGCTAATTTAAATACATACAAAAGAATTTCAAATTGGCAGCCATTTATGAAAAGGGTCTATAAAGTCATCAACTGAGAATTCAACAGTTCGTCCCAAATAGACACCTTGTCAATGGTGTCAATTCCACTGAAGCTCTGAATATGTTTTGTCATGACTGGAAAGAAATATTGTCATGTGGAATAAGAATAATCAATTTGCATACAGGATGTAGGTTCTTTTTTTGATTGCCAGCTTTAAGATGATGCAAAATGCGGTAAAATGTTACTGTAAATGCAGTTAAAACAATGTAAAAAAACATATTGTTCATACAGTCTGTATGCTTCTTTTGATACATGTAGATCCTTGTGATGTTAATAGTATATGTTGATGATTGACTAGTAGTTTGCATAATAATTTCTGGATAGAAGAGTGCATCCATGTTTGTTTCTGGATTCAATATTAATCTTCAAGTGGC